AGGGCGCTCGGTCCCGGGGAGCACGGGCCGCTCGCCATCGCTCCGCACAGACAGGGACGCCAGGCGGTATTTCCTCCACAATTTTTATTTTAAATTACAAAGGATGTTGCATACATTGATGAATTTGTATCCGAACAGAAGTGCTGGGGATCAAGGGTGACAGAGTAAACAAAGTCAATAGTTTCATTGTGCCTCTTTTCAAAAAAATAAAAACCGCACAACTATTAACCAACATGAAACATTGCAACTCTTCACAGATCATGCTTTGAACAAGGCAGATTTATTTTCTAACAGAGACAAGACTTTCAGGAAGTTTTTCTGAGCTCCAGTTGGAAGTTGATTACAGAACGTCCAGGGCAGCGTTCCCATCCCGACCCCAAGCACACACACAACAGGACGCCATGGCTTGTTTAAAATGCCTTTTTTTTCCCCACCTGTCAGCCACCTCCGTCCGCAATGTGCCATCAGCCCCAAGCGTTCACCCCACCGCAAATACCGAGCAGGAACTGTGACTTAGACATAAAATTCTGGGAGGATAGATGATTCAAATCAGAATGTACGAATATCCATTATTATAAAAAAAGATTAATAAAATTAAGTGCTACTACTAGGTCCTCTTTCTTAATCAGAAGATTTTGATAGGGCGGAGTGTGCTTTTGCCCATACCAAATCCAATCTGTAAGTTTTCCCTACAATAGCTAATTAACTCACTCAAATTTGACTTACACAGATACCAGACTACAAAATATTAACTCACAAAAAACTGTGAACACTGATGTTATCTGAAAAGTTTGGAGTTTCATTTTTTCAGTGGGGGGTGAGGGGGGGAAGCCTGGCTTCAAAAATAGCTCTGGCTCCACTCTTAGCTCCACAGCTCATTAGAAAGACAATAAATGCATAGTCAGTATTTGCTCTTGTGGAAGTTCATGAATGTCTAAGAGGCTGAGGATTATAATTCCGTGCGCGCACGCACCTTCTTATCATGCTAGCAGCATTGGGGGAAAAAACATGGCATATTGTGAAATGTAAATTGTAGAAAGGTAAGAGACATTTTTGTATGCTGCAAAGAAGATACGACCTAAAAGTGCCATCTTTCATTAATAATGACATTTAAGAATCCCAATTTATATTGGGAGATGATCAAGAGTGGTGTTTTCTCAACATTCTAATGCCCTTAATACAGTTACAAGAAGAATCAGTCAGTGAGGCAGTAACTGTTTGAAATGTACTTCACACAGTCCCTGGGGTAAACAAAATAAACCTCAGTGGTGTGCAAGGCTGTGTCAATAAGCCAAGACCACATCTAGCAGCGCACTTAACTGGATGATTCCAACTGAAGCCTCCAACTTAAAAAGAAAATAAAATCGTGATTAGATGCATTCTTGAAATTCAGGTCTCAAGGCCAAACACAGGTCCTAACGTTCACGGTACATAACTGGGTTACGCCTCAACAGAACTTCAGGAAGACTAGCAAGCACATTTGAGGAACAGAACTGCATCTGCTATTTCTGCTGAAGGCAACGTGTATGCAACCCTTTGAAATTCTCCTGATAAAACCTGTTAGAGCTTTAAAAAAATAGCTACGTTTAAATGATTCATGGAAAAGAAAAGCACATCCAGTCTTTATACTTTGTGAATAAGCTAACTGTTTTATTAATGAAGGCAAATATCAGATAAATAATGGGGGGGGGAATCTTTTTAAAGTAAAATTCAAAACTGACACCACTGTATTTCAGAAGTGTCTGGTTGCTTTTAGGTTAGTTGAGAGATTCTTTATCCATTCTAGGGGTTTGTTGGTTGGTTGGCTTTTTTTTTTTTTTTAGAAAAAGAACTTTTTCCTGGCCTTCTTAGTATGGAAAAAAGTCTATCTACAAAGAACTAGGAACTGAACACAGCTGAGCCTGACTCTCATATCAGCTTTACAGCAATGCAACTTCATTAAATCACAATGATTTCAACCGGCATGATAAGAAAATCCAGCCCATCCACATGTAAACATAGCTTTAGTAGTAAGTCTCTCTCATCCAAAAAAAAATTACTCAACAAGTATCAGTAAATGTGTTCAATAAACCATAAAAGGAAGCATTAGCAAAAGGGGTTTAGGGCTAAAAAACACCCTTCGCGAGCACCCCCACATTTTGCAAGGCCATTCAAAAACTGGTCTTCCGTATAAATACAAAAGGACTGCTATTGAGAGAAACTGAAATCAGATCTATCCAGACCTTCTTCAGGAAGCTTTTATCAGTTCTGATTCAATTTCAGAAGGGTTAGGTTTGAAGAGTTCAGAGGGAATGAAAAACATTTAGTTCTAGATGTACAAGTAAGGCACAATATAAAGCCACATCATCATCTGTCATGAAGGAAGTAGGAGAGGACGAGAATCATACATGGTACAGCAGAATAAGCAGTCCATCGATTCAAAGTGTGGCACCTACGTTCAGACTGACGAGATCTCAACAAGAGCAGTTATGACAGCATGCTTTTAATATGGAAACAAATTGTAGAGAATCCAGTGTATCAGAAAAAGGAAGAGCTTTTGTTTGTAGTAAATCAAAAAATGTATAATGTTTTTGGATATAGGATTAAAAGTGAATATTCACAATGCCTACACTCAAAAACAAACAAGCAAAAAAAAATCCAGGACTTCATCAAGATCCACATACCATGTATGAACACTGAAAATCTTTAGAAAATGGTCTTCTCTAAAGATCATCCAAAAACGCATGCCACAATTGCCAAAAAACAGAACATGTACATTTGTTGGTTTTTATACCCTTATAAGATCTTTGTCTGTGATAAGTATACACTAAATGTATATATTTTAATGACACTAGAGGAAGCAGATTGTTACTGGCATTAAAGTACAACCATTTCTAGACGGTTTAAATGCCACAGAGTCCCCTGGTTAAAATGTAAAGCTGCACAGCTTGCCTATGTCACCTTTATGATAAAGTTAAACCAGCAAAAGGTCTTATCTTTACTCTACATTTTACTGCCAGGTTTTATTTATATCAAGTATCGCTGCAGCATTCTGACCAGCCCAGAGTTAGCAGCAAGTGGCAGGAATCATATAAAACGCAGTTTCTTTTTTTTCTTTTTTAAAACAAAGTGCTTTTCTAAGATATACATACATATAAATAGGTACAAAATAAAGTGTCAACATTAAAAAGCTCAACTATTTAAAAGCTTTAACTTAACATAATACATAGAAAACACTGAAATGCAAGGGTATGGAATTCACTAAAGATTCAAAGTCTACTTTGAAATGCTAGACCAAAATCATATTCTGGTTTTCAGACAAAAAGCTATAAAGTTATGTATGCCCAGTATTTCTGAGCAGTAAAAAAGGGGCCTTTTAATACCTTGTCAGTTTGTCACAGAAATTTCTACCTGATTGCAAAACTGCTCTCTGCACTGCTCATGAAGTTCAACAAGGCCAAGTGCAAGGTCCTGCACACGGGTCGGGGCAATCCCAAGCACAACTACAGGCTGGGCGGAGAGTGGGTCAAGAGCAGCCCTGAGGAGAAGGACTTGGGGGTGCTGGCTGACGAGAAGCTCAACATGACCCATCAGTGTGCCCTGGGCTGCATCCCCAGCAGCGTGGGCACAGGGTGAGGGAGGGGGTTCTGCCCCTCTGCTCTGCTCTGGTGAGACCCCCAGGAGTCCTATGTCCAGCTCTGGAGCCCCCAGCACAGGACAGACCTGGACCTGTTGGAGCGAGGCCAGAGGAGGCCACAGCAATGATCCAAGGGCTGGAGCACCTCTGCTGTGGGGAAAGGCTGAGAGAGCTGGGGCTGTTCAGCCTGGAGAAGGCTCCGGGGAGACCTTAGTGCAGCCTTCCAGTATGTGATGGAAGGGGTCCCTGCCCATGGCGGGGGATTGAAACGAGGGGATCTGTAAGGTCCCTTCCAACCCAAACCATTCTGTAATGCTATGAAATGCTGCCTTGTCTACACCGTTTGGACACAGCGTAAGGACCTCTCGTATCTGAGCAGTGTGTTAACACCATCAGAAAGGAACAACAGTATTCAGATCTTGGTACAGACATGGCCTTAACTTCACAAGAGACATTCTCTGTCGGCATCTCCGGAATAACTGCAACATCAGCAATAATTACAGTAGGAATACATCTGACCCACTGTGTAAAGCAGCAGCCAACTCTCACCTCAACCTAACAACAACAAAAACACCTGAAACAAAACCACTCGCATTCCACTCAGATTTTGCAAGTCTTAAGTGGATTTACAAAGTTTTGCCTAAATTGCCCTGGGTATTTGTTCAGTCTCTTGTAGGAAAGACTTTCTGTACAGCTCAGTAGTGGTATTTTGGCCTCCTCCTCCCTCTCGGGTCTTCCAAAATATTGAGATACAAAGCAAGCTGTGTGCACGCTCACAAGTATGTGGCAGGGCTGCCACCTTCATCATCCACTCTTACTGCACTATTACCGATTCAGACTTCTTTTTATAGTACAAGCTTGGATATAAAAATAATCTACTTATAAACAAAAAGGAATCACAGTACAAACAAACTTAGACAAACTAGAAGTGGAGAAGTTCCCCAAAGGGACTGGGGAGAAAGCCTTCATGGACTCTTGCATTTTTTTTTCAGCAGCTACATTTGAAAATATTTGGTATTTCTATTTTCAGTAAACAGTGTTTTGTCATCTTTAAATAGGGAGAGAAAGAACAGGGAGGAAAGGGGGGGGGAGCCATGAAACCAGAGAATGATCTTGCCTTGAGATAAAGTACTTTCTCATCAAAGGCTAAAGCTTTTAATCTGTACGTTAACACTGACTACAAAGCCAACTCTTATTAGCAGAAGAGCAAATAAGAACTCTGTTAATATTCCTCAATCATAGAAACTACTGAATTAACAAGAATAAGTCACATATAAGTTTGAAGAAGCTAGTTTCGAAATACCTGTACAAAAATATAAAAGTCTATAAATTTTTTTTTTGTTTGAAGCCTGTGTTGATCCTTGGAAACATCACATGCATAATAATACATCAACTGGAAAAGTGGCAACTAAGGAATTAGATATTTGTAGCTCTGTGTTTCTCTTTACATATATACACCTTACAATAAAAATAATTTTATTTTGGTTGTTTGGTGGAAGTATACTACAACAAGCTAAATTTTTTTTTAAATTCTCAAAGTTGAAAACTATTTTACCAATAGCTTACTAAAATCCAAATATATTAAAATCTCCTACAGTAAGTGCAGAGAAAAAGGATTTAAAGACTCCGAGACGGCCACCAACTTATCTACCATGGAAGCGAACTACAAGAACAGCAAAATAATATTGTTATGTATGAATGCTCCTTCTGTAGATAATTGGACCCAAACAAAAAAAATTCACAGTTCAGTAAGATCCCTAACCCTGACCTTTAATTTTTTTTCTTTTTTCATTTGTTTTTACATTCAGTACAGTATCATATAAGCTGTGCAAAACTTTACTTAGACTGGCAGTTCGCCATATCAGTTGCATTTGTCTTTGGTACAAAAATAAACAATCGCATTAATGTGCAAGTATTTGTTTTCTTCCGGCCAAAGTACCGAAATTGAGTTTTCTAGAGCCATCTTTTATACAATACATAGACTCTGTGGCATATATCTACATTTTCAACATATTCCTATATACATTCAAAAATTTTAAGAGCTGGAACAAATACATTAAAACCTATAATCTTACCATCTATACATCTTTTTTTTCCCCCCTCAGGGTTTTCTTCATACAAAACTTTACCGGCTTACACTGATAGCTCTCCCCCAAAAATACAAGGCACAAAGAATATACTTTTTTTTTTCTCTTGCTTGCACAGACATTTAAATACTATATTAAGCTCAGAAAATTAAAGTCTTATATGGCACACTAGCTCTAATGCCATATGTGCTATGTACAAGTTAATGGTTGCAAAGAAAGTTCACTGTTTAAGAAGAACAGAATGAAATCCAATTATTAAAAAAGAAAAAAAGAACAGAAAAAACTTGCCAAATTGACAGCTTTACCAAAAAATGCTTCCTCTTATTTTACTTGGAGCATAAACCTGCCACAATGTCTGGCATATGCTAAAAATCTTTACTAGCAAAACCATGTTTTTGCTTCTAAAACAAAAGTGACATATTCTGGTCCTACGTAACCTAATTTTAAAAAGAATCCTCATATCTGTATTTAAGCTTAAAGCAGCTTTGAAACTATCTGATTTATGCTCCAAAAATGCTATTAAGCATTTTATATCATGCTTTGATTTGTTTTACTACATTGTTATTTAAAAACAATGGAACCTAATTGTCAGTGTTTACATAATGCTAAACTGACATGCAGACCAGAATGCAATTTACACTGAAGTACTTGACAACACAGGTAGAATCTGATCGATGAGAACAGCGGAAGTCATGTCTTAAACTTTTGACACTGGTATTCGTAGCCCTACAAGGCCACCGGTGGGGTCTCCTTCTGCAGTCTTCTCTAAAACTTGATTCACAAATTCTGATGTCTGCCCAGCTACAGGTAGACCTAAAAACGGAGGGTAAGAAAACATGTTGTAAGGTTACTATTCATTGCACATTTTTGTACATTCTTGCAAGTAACACAAAGCCAATGAACACTTTGGTTAGTAACCAACCAGAAGGCACAGACAACTGAAATTAGGAAGTGCTTCTTTTCTCTATTCCAGAAATTGTTTGCAATCTAATGTATCGTAGATCATATGTCTCTTCTTCACATACATGCAAGTACATTAAGTTCACTGCTTACCAAGGGTGTCTTTAATAAGTACGTTCAACTTTTGTTCCATGTTGACTCCTCTATCATCTTTAGGTACCTGCACCCGATTAACTATTTCTTGTTTAATGGAGTTTATCACAAACAGTAAATTATCTGCAAAAAAGAAAACCCGGATTAGATGTACAGCACATTCCCCTTGGATGCAAAAGAGATCCACAGCTGTCCACACACTGTCATCTGTAAGTGTCAAAGGTGTCACATCACACTTACTGTAAAATTAAGATGTAATAGTTTACATCTGTAAGCATATTTAAAAATATATTTACATTACAATCATACATTTAGATAATTTACATCTGTGAAGTAGCTCAACACTGCAGGTAACCCAATTTACACGCACTTTATAAAGTAGATTGTTTTTGTACCAACAAAATCGTTGGGTTTGTACCAACTCTGTTTTCTCTATAAACTGCCAGGTATGACCCAGGTTACACGATGGCGCAAAACACAGACTTGTCTGAACAAAAGAAAAATTAAGATGTGAAGAGTTGTATTTACCATATTCCGTGTTGAGACCCCAGAGTTTTACTTTATTGGCTTCATACTGGGCTTTCTTTTTTAGTCTACAAGCCCTATAGTAAGAAGAGGGGAAGAATTAGAACACTAACAAAAATTCCAGAATACTAAGAGCATCTGTCTTCTTGCCACATGAACTTATCAACCAATACTTCCAGAGCTGTGATGTACAATATCATCTGTCTACTCACTCACCTTCACTGAAAGCACTCTGCTACCTACATTTGCTTACGTTTCACACTTGTGGATTTTATCACTGTATCAATCACTTGCCCTGCAGCTAAGTAAGCCAGCTTCCAGTGGAAATACAGCATTATCTAGGGAACAGGCAATGCACACCTCCAAAGTGCCAGCTGCCCTGCTTTTTGATAAACCGGTAATTAGCCCATTGCAGGAACTGTCATGATGAAGCAGGATCTCGAGGCAAAAATTAGTTAGATCTTAATTGTACAGTTTTACTCATCCATGCAGTGTTATCTAATATATACCTGGAAGCCAGCTTGTTCTTTTCTTTTCTTGACCTCGGTCGGGCAGTTAAGGGAAGTTCACTGACTGGCGTCAGGTCACTGATCACCTTGTTCAGCTTCCTCAGCTCATTACCAATCTGGAGAAGTTTTCTGGGGTTGGGAGTCAGGTCTTCTACATCAGTCCTCCGTGACTTCTTTGCTGCATATTTTCCTGTTTTAAATATGCAGAAAATTGGGTTGGGAAGTGACAAAATACATACACAAAGCTAGGAAAAAACATTCTTAAATCTGTATTTTTTGGAGTGCAGTTTAAGTTCCTTTGTTCATTACAAGAGAACAGACTGGAATCATGTGATCCCTATGGCCTTTCACAACAGAAAAAGCATTTCCAGACAAACTGCTTTGTTAAAGTCATACTATATCCAGATCAGATAAGAGCAAATACTGCTGGCTATGCTACTGGATGTGACAGACAGTATACACACAACTGCGCTGGAAAATGAATGCCACAAGTTCAAACCCAGATGTTCTGCCCCAACTGTAACCTGCTAACTCGTGTTCAGCCAATATTTCCTCAAGTTGATTAAATTCCTAAATAATCTTATCGTTGAAGTTCTGTATTAAGAAATAGTGTGGAGGCCTGGTACGGAAATGATCTTCAGTAATATTGAGCTCAAACAATCCACATAAAGACTAGTTAACCCCTTTTGTATGTATCTGAAGCTATTTAAGGCCTGGTTTTTCTGAGGAATTACACATATTCAAGACAAAATCTTTATTCTTTAAGATTCTCTGCCACTGCTGTGTCTTTTTCCAGATTTCTATTAAAAATGTCTGTTGTTACAGACACTTGCATGAGAATGTTAATAAAACTAACAAAACCTGCTCCAGAAATATTTATTAGAGAGCTGATAATTTAGCATGATTTATTTGAGGTAGCAGATGACCTTGGTACACATCTGTATATGAAAATTAAAAAATCCTGCATGTGTTATATTCTGTAGCTTCTGGATGTTAAGTAGTGTTTAAGCCCCAAAATTCCTTGCATACGCACCTGACTTAAAGGTCACTTGCTCCTCCAGTGTTTGGTGGGACTGAATCCTCAAGGCATGTCTGGTTATTTGATGTTTATTAACAAGTATAGATATAAGCCTTACATCTATAAGGCTTAGGAGCATAAGAAGGAGCAGTGAGAGGGACTTTAGGTACTGGTATTTCACTACAAGATAAATAAGCATACAAAAACTAAGGAGATTTTAAAAAAATGTTTTCTTCCCTGAATAAATCTACAAGTAACAACAACAAAGTATTTTTGTTTAACAGAAGGTAAACTGCCATGGTGTAATTTTCAGCTGTAAGGGAATGTTAACATTACAACCAGGGAAGCTGGTTTTTTCAAAGCCAAAATCAAACGGAGCAGCCTACCAAAGAGGTCCTGTGACAAGAAAACAAACGTCACTCCTAAGAGTGGTTTGTTCTGGGTGATGTTAGTGTGCGGTACAGCAAATTGCTAATCAAAAGATTACGGGAATAAACCACAGTTATTAAAACATTTGGTTTAAGTTTCTAAGAGGGTATTTTAAAGAAATAGTTTATTCACAGAGGAGTAACTGCTTCACTGTGCTGCATTCACATAGGTGGGAGAAACAAGTAGGGAGGAACAAAACGAGACAGTTATGCCTCATTGCTGGTTCTGTAGTTCATACTGCCATTAACGTGAACTTTGCATCTCAGATCACTTCCAGCTTACTTCTGACACAAGCAAGACTGAAACTAACAGCTATAAGGGGCAAGTATCAGTCAAGCGAGCCATCCAATATGTTTACAGTATCGCACTGAGAAAATTTCAAACTTGGGGTTTCCACTGAAAGCCCTTGGAAGTTACTATCCTCAATTCATCTACCTTCCTTTGGAAGAAACCACACTGAAAGTTACCACTGTATGTTCACTGTGCCTTCCTTGGAAACTGTGCAGAACCGTGCTAATTAAGCAACAGACTTACAGTGTTTTAATGATTTACTTTCATGGCCAGAACTCAACTTCTCAGCACTTGCAAGTATCGGAGTTTGGCTACTGAAGGGGTCAGAATGAAAGACATTCACTTGTAGCTAGGACTCAATACTTACCGTGATGGAGACCATTCTTCTGATACATGTTACTCGGTAACGTATCTCGATTCCACTCGGATGGCCTCAGCATTCTTTCTTGTTGCGATGGTGTTAGTTGCTCACTGTACTCCCAGAAGTATCTCCGCTTGCCTCTTTTCCGAGAGGATATTGCAGTCATTTCTTTTAAATCCTCCACAGAATCATTTTCATACCCTAAAAGGATGCATTGCATTGTTTATATAAAGTTGACAAAACTGTTTCTAGCCCTTTAATGGTGGACTGAGTATTCAAGTTAAGAGCAAAACCACAGATGAGACCTGTTTTACTTTATCTAATAGACTTGGTTTTCAGCGTCAGCTATTGGGTACTCGCCTTAAATCCCGGGACAGACACTGGAGCCAGTGATGGCGCTTCACTAGTGGAAAAGAGACAAATGCATTGAAAGCCCCTTTATGTTCTCTGTCCCCTTAAGCTCTATTGCTCTTCTCCCCCACAATCCCACCGCTGCAGAGTACAGACAACAGCCGTCGCAGAGTGTTCTTCCACCCTTATAATTTTCTCCATGAATCTGCAGGAACATAATCCTACCTTGCCTCCAGATTTTAATTAATCTCTCATCAAAAAGTGTGGAAAGATAAGCAGATAACAAAGATGGGCTAGCAAAAGACTAATAAAGAAAGCAAAACTATTACATCATAAAATATTTTGAGTTGGAAGGGACCCACTAGGATCACTGAGTCCAACTCTTGTTCTTCCTTGAGTTTAAATACCTTCAAAATCAAAGCACCCATCTCTGCTAGACTAGAAGAAGGGGGCTCTTATCAGGACAATGACCTAAAGCCCGTAAGAAAAGACCATCTAAACTGAAGGGATCTGGACACAATGTGTTCGGTCTCTTCCTCACCTCTTTAGTGGGATGAAAAGAAGCGATCCACAGTAAAGCTACAGAGTATTTTAGATGTATATTACGATGCACTTGATATGATGAACTGTTCATGAAGTACATGGAAACTGTAATGCCATTATCCACAATGCATAAGCATCTATACTATAATTACCTAAGTACAAACCAGTTTCCAAAATCATACATATGCTTTAGAAAATAAAGACAACTTACACTAAGGTTAAAAAAACCCCAAACCACTGCATCGCCTTTTGTACTAAAATGCTACATAATAGTTCACATTTATTTAAAAAACAATGCATTTCAAAACATCACACACACTGATGAAGCTTAAAGAAAAGCCAACCACTGAACAGACTGTAAGCTTAACAAGCCTTGACCCCATATGCTTGAGTTCTGCTTCATCTTTTAACAGCAGCACAAAGAACACTTTCTTCTTTTTAAAACAGTCCATTCAATTACTCTGTTTGCCCTTCAAAAACCAGTTGAAAGAGGAAAAACAAATTTTCTTGCTTTCGTCTGACTCTCATGTCATAACCCAAAGTATGAATAAAAGTTAGGTGTGGAGAAGGATTAAATCAGTTATAACTTTCTGTTTCTAATAATTTCATCATTTATTTTGATTCTCTAGTTTATTAAAAAGACACTATTTTAAAGGCAAATCAAACAAGGAAACATGCGCTACAAAACATTTTTTCTTCTATAGCCAAAATGATTATGACAATTTATATTAAATACAGTTTCAAACACCATATTTTTAACTGTACTTCCATTTTACCCGAATCCTGTTTGACATAAGTATCAAAATACTCTTAAAAATCCCACTTACTTTCCACTTGAAAGAACATATCAAGCTATGTAACTCATTATACAGATATGTATAAATTTAGCCCATTTTCATGATAACACAGAATTAAGCCAACTGATGAAAAAAAATCTCTTTAAGAGCTGATGTGTACAAATGTACAAGGTTAAAATCAATACTTCCTGTTTGCTTATTTAAACTATAATTACGTTAGCAACTTAAATTATGTTGACTTAATGCATCCTGCCTTGCAACTCTAACACTGACCTCCTATCATTTTAAAGTTACATAGAATGATCTAGTGCACATTGTCCTAACCTAGTCTGTAACATACAGGAGTGCAACAAATCTGTTTAGCTTTTCTGCACTGTATGCATCTTCCTTCAATACTCCTCTTAGCAAAGACCACAGAGCAGTCTCCCTTTCTTTGGCGGGCTTCTAAGAAATCTGAGAGGGTTCTCGTATTTACCTTTCAAGCCCTTCGCAAGTCCCTCCTAAAAATCTTTGTTCACATCCCTTACTATGGTTTTAGGTTTAAGTTCACCAGGGTTAAGTAAAACAGAGAACAAGATAGACATGACTTCTGCGTCTTACCAGATTAAAAGCAAAAATAGCCCCACCAAGACACAACTAGAAAAACCCTTCTCTTTACCATTTAATCATACTAGCTTCTGTCAAAGCATTTATTAGTCTTTTCCCCCAAGCTGATGGTCCAGGTGCTCAGAACAGATGCAATGCCACATCTCTAAACAACCTCCATGTCTCTACAAGCACTTTTCCCTTTCAGCTATTTCTTCTCCAGTGCTACTGAAAACTGGATCAGTTGTTGTACCTCCCATTTCTGGAATCTCTTGACTACTTGATGAGAGAAGTAGTGATTTACAAATGTTTCTATTAAATGAGATAGGTAAAATATACTAATACTGGCAAAAAAAAAAAAATGTTTAAGTGGTAGAAAAGGCCTGGGCTAAAAACTCCCATAATAAACTACCTTTGCAGGTGACCAAAATTGCTACATCCGTACCATGGTGATAATAAAAACACTGTTGCCCAAACTTGCCTGACAGCCAGTCATATTTTTAGTGACTTCTCCAAGTTCCTGAAGTTCACAATATCTATGTACTTTCTCAGACAACAGTAATGCTTTAAGAAAGCATTTCATGCACTCCAAAATCATACAAGAAGAATAAACAAAAGCAAACTGTGTATAAAATACATCAAACGTTCAGCAATAACTCCTATGTTTGCTTTCAGTACTACAGAAAGTTAAATCTTCCTGTGCCATGCCTATTTTTAGGAACTTTATCCATAGTATTTACCTTACTCTGAAAGTAGAAAAGCAACACAATTTACAAGAGTGACATAACCTTCTAATACAATCAAAACACACGGTGAAACTTTTAATATCACCATACTTGAGGTGAATGGCTTCATTCGCTTAAAGTTCTAGCAAGCTTGTAGAAGCCAAGTTCCTTGGTTACTGTACCGCACAACACAGCTGTATTTAGGAGGTGAGAGTGCTTGCTTGTCAGCAAAATTTGAACAAACAGCAAATAGTTAATGTAATTCCACCAACTGAAATCCCAGCATCTTATATACGACATCTCTTTTTCAAGGCTACCAAGCTTTCTGTGCGACATGCCTCTGTGGGCTGCAAAGCACTGTGCAGTACAGCAATCATTACAGAGCTGTTAATAGCTACTCAAAGCCCCACAAAATAGAGGCAGTTCAATTCAGAAGAAGGGAGGAAGAGGTTTTAAAATATTAATAAAAATGTGTTAGTTACATGTAAAAGTAACATAAAGGGCATAATGCTTAACAAGTTTAATGCCAACTCAGGAAATCCACTTAGAAAATAATTTAAGCTGAGTTCATTACGACAAACACTGACAAGCTTTAGGGAAGCTGCTGTTTTTAAAAAGGCAAAATTTCAGCTGCTTTCCCCCCCGAACTTACATATTGCCAAATGTCTGAATACCTTAATTATGATACTCTACAACAAAGCATTTATAAAGTGTGAATACTGTAATACTTTCTACAATTAAACTAATACTTGGTTACAGTCCTGTCCCTTTCCCTTCATTTTATTTTCATTTTTTCCCTTTCACTTTATTTTTATACAACGTTACCGCTTTGTTACCTTCTAGGTGAAGGTTAGTTCTTATTTCTGTTGTTAAGGCTCCATTTCTACATGCAGAAGAGAAGAATTCAGTATCCTTTGAAGACCCACTAAGTGATACTGCTGAAAACCACCAAGAAACAGTTCTATTAGTTTCAGTGGTAAGTATTCTTTGGATTCTGTGGAAAACTGTACCTACAGTAGGACTTACGTAATTATGAAACTATTTCACTCAGGCTATGATTTCATACCAGCTATCAAGAGGCACAACTCTGGATAAATTCAAAGCAGCAACCTACTGAAGCACTAGAAAGCTCTGCATATCCTGTCGTCAAGCCATGAAAAAAGACAAAAACTGCAGGTAGCTGCTCTACGACCTTAGCCTACAAGCTAGGTTTCCTGTATTCTCTATTATTATTTTTGTTGCATGACCACAGTCTATGCATTTTTTTCTCAAAACAGGGCAATAGAGACATTGTGTAGTTTTCATTAATTACATTTTGCAAAGCACTTAGAAAATCTGGTTTGAAACTTCGTAACTGAAGATCAGTGTTGCTCATCTGTAACTACAGAGCATTCAAAAGCATTCTTTCCCACTTGGCAGACAAATCCATTAACCTCCACGTTAACAAAGCCCACCATTGCCGGTACCTGGTTCTGAGAAAGTATCGCTGATGTCGTCATCTTTATCATCCTCATAATCTTCTTCCTCATCATCATTTTCAGACAGCTCGTGCTCACTGCCAAATCCTTCATCGTGGTCCTCATCTTCAATATCGTCCTCATCATCCTCATCTTCCTCGGGGTCTCCTTTGGCTGACTGTTCACCCAAACTGTCTGTTACAAAAAGAGAATAGTTGTGCTCTTCTTTCTTCTGTGAAGAATCTGACACTGATGTGCTGGCAGAAAGACTGCTCTCCCCCACAGTGAGCCCTGGGGTTTCCTGGGGTGGACTGACGAGCAGTTCTTGAGTCTCTTTAAAAGGCAAAACAGGAGGCGTACTGTGACCATGAGGGGACTCTATTCCTTTTCTTTCCTGTCTCTTTGCTACAGTACCACAGTAGCAGGTGTTTTCCTTTGCTGCATCAGCATGCGTCTGGCTCAGCACTGGTCTGCTCTGTGGTAAAGGATTGATCTTTACTTTTGCCTTTTTAACATAGTCTTTACATTCAACATGAATGTTCACTTTTTCAGTATTGTACACATTTGTCTTCACCATGATTTGTGTACTGGAAGCAGGCTGAGTTGCAGGTTTGCTTGCCTTCTGAACACAGTCCGACAAAGGTGCCTCAGCCTGAACGTTCTTGGACGAACAGACTGGGGCTGCTGCTCTGGTTGCAATTTTTTTGCCAGGTAACAAAGAATTTAAAGGGTTTTGTTTTACACTGAAGAGCAAATCAGGGTAATAGAGTGAATCAGAAACAGGTTGGGAGTCCTCACTGTTAAGCTGAGCCAGTGTCGGTGTTTTGCTTATCACCTCTTCATCTTGGTATGGGCTTGAAAAGTCATCAAGGCCCAGGTAATCCACCTCTTTTGTTCCCCAGATGTCACAGCTGGTTAATTTAGTGTACTTAGTTAAGTCTTCACAGTAGGTATCCCACTGCTCCCACTTCGAGGTGAGCGCAGCTTCTTTGTCCAGGATGTCTGTAAAAGACTCCAAGTTCTCAAGGTCTTTGCAGTCTTCCATTAAAAGTAAGTTGTCTCTGGAGCTTTGCTGATAGTCCATTTCTCTGTCCTGTGCGTAAGACGACAAGTTAAAGATTAATACAAAAAAAGTATCGATCATCTCTGTGCTCTACTTAATCTAGTATGGTGAGCTTAATTCCAGTGAAGTGTAAGAGAGCGGTAACATATGAAGAGACCTCAACTTCCAGCTAAAAGCTTCTTTTGCGGGTCAGAACGAAGTCCAGCTTCCATGCTTCAGCAGCAGCAGATCCTTCTGAAGAGACTGCCAAAGATATAAGTCAAATGCTGCTGGATTCTTTTCATGCTATTGCAAACTCATCTGGTCATCATCAATTAGACTAGGTACCAATATCCATGTATTTAAAATACTAAAGACATCACAGACATGCTGTTCTACTCTCTTTTAACCTAGGTCAATCTTTGCTGTATCCTTAATAGAATATGCTCAAGTCCACCAGTTGCTGGAAAACCGCGTTCTAACATGATCAGTTAATGACTGTGAGCTACCTTTCTTCTCTGATGCAGCGAAACAAACAAAAAAAAGAACACTAGTATAAGCAGCTCATGAGTCAACTTTTATTTTGCTTCCCCTGCCTTCGCAGCTTGGGTGAACTAGCATATAGCTGCTCTTGCAGAAAAGATTGCAAGAAAGTGTCTCAAGCATCATTACATAACGCCAACACAGCTCTATTTGAGACATGCATATCAAACCTCTCCTGACGGCCAGCTTTAACAAGCGCCTATTGAGGAAGCATCACATCTGCTGGACAAGCAGTTAGGCTCTTCCATAATCAGTAGCTAGCAGTAATGAATAATCTTCTACATTCTTGAACAAATATCCCTTTATTACTATATGAACTCAGGGTATTAGTCAAGTGGAGAAAATTATGTACACACACAGAAAGATGACCTACCAGTTCATACATAAAGTCTGGATCTGAGCTGCTTGCCAAGAGATCCGTGCTCATCAGAGTCTGCTCTGAAAACACATGGCTCCGAAAGGCGTCCCCAAAAGGAGGGTCCATTCCACTCACACTGGGCTAAAATAAAATTGATACTGATGTTTAAAGCATGCTATAAAAAGGCATAGTCTTCTCTTCAACAAAACATAAAGAATATTGCCATTTCATCCAAGACTCTGAACTTCTGCTGTACTTGCATCTGGAAGGTTTTTGCCTACTCAGATAAGCACGTCATTTCACAGAGCAAGAGAATGCTTTTAGAGCAACTAACAACATGCAGCTCTTTAATCAAAGGACACATTTGTATTCATCATATAGCTGCAAGAGCATTGCTCATTCCTTCTTTTTTGTTGGTTTGAAATTCTCGTGTGTTTGCCAAGTTCAGGGATACGTTAGCATTTGTAGAAGAGGAGAGCTAGTACTGGCAAGATCTGTGAGCATCAGTAGGCACTACACGCTGGCCAGGCCTTCACCCTAATACAAACCATTTGTACTAAAGCACTGTTGACTGTTTTTAGAACCATTAGAACTCATAAAACTTACACCTGAGATTGTAACAATTGCTGAATTTATTATAACTAAATCAGGAGTGTTGTATCTCTTGAGAATGAAGTAGAACTTTGCAAAAAAACATTATGCAGGATGACTGGGCATGCAGGGAATGGGCAGCAAGGCTTTCTGCTACATTTAATTCCAGACCTCTATTTCTCTTCTAGACACACTCTCCCTGAGGGTTGGGAAGGGAGAAACACTGTACTGCTGAAAATCATTCAGTGTGCTGATGTGTGAATCGCTGCGGTAATAAAAGGCTGCTCTCCAGGCATCCACCGTCGTCAAAGAGGACAACTTTACTGAATCCTGCTGTGTGAACAAATACAGCACCAAGAGAGGCAACACAGGTTCCACCATAGGCACTACTGGCACTCCAAAATATACACCATTTAATCTCTTCTAAATTCTCCCTGCTAACGCCAGTCACATTTGCTCTTAAACTTCCTCTTTTTTGTTGTTAAATAAGGAAGCAGAATTACTTACAGAAGCAAATAAAATCATAACAGACTTACCTGAGGCATTTCCAAGCCCAGATTCCCCAAATCCAATTCCAAACTTCTTGTTTTATTCACTTGTAGATTCCTTTCCAGCTTTACTTCAGTCTCAGTGAGTTTACACAATCCATGCAATGAAATTTTTCCTTAGGATAACTTCAGTTCACCCTGATGGAGCTCTTCTATTTGTAGACTTCTGTGTAGAATAAACACAGCAAACCCCAAGGAGGTAAGTAATCCTTCACCAAAAACGTAGTGTTTAAAAAACAGTCAAAGTGAAGACAAAAATTTCCCCTGAAAACTGATTATTCCTCATGCTGGAATGTATAGTAATTTTCTTCCCCTGCCATCTTTCATCAAATGAAAAGCCATAGATGCTGCAGAACAGAGTTCCTGCAAAAGGCTTTTTGGCTGAGTTACATTTTGTTGCCTTTTTTCCTCACTATCGAGACTATGAGCCCTACAGACATATGAAAAGAAAAGCCTGCCTAATTGGAAATAATGACTAGCATACTGCTGGGTATATAAGAGAGAAACAATCTTTATGACTAATAAAACAGAACCAATAAATTCTAAAAATGTCTTGGGCAGACGTCTCAAAACACGATTTTCACAATAGGCAGTGATACAGTTTCTGTGCTATCTCCTCCGTCTCTTAAGAGACGAATCCATCCAGCAGCAGGTAAGATCGCACCCATCACTCATACAGCAACATCTAGTGGCAGAGGGTTACGGCAAGCGTGCTCACCGTCCAGCAGCAGAGGAAGGAAGAGACAGACCTCCCCAACACAACAAATTAAAAACTGTGCCAAATTCAGAGCTGCTTAATAAAAATATCTTCTCTATTAATTTCAAGTAAGGCACATGTTGAAATGGGTCCAATTTATCTATTAGTAATTTTACCAGTTTAGTAGTTTCTGTAGAACCGCTGCTACTTCAGATGTTTACGTAAAGGCTTTTCCGAGCCTCATGCCCTCCTTAATCCTGCGTTTTCTAACAATGCAAAGAAAAACTGTAGAAAAGCAAGTACCTTAGCACTAGTATCAGTAACTATACCTACACTAGAAGTATGACAAAAGACTCATAAGTAACAGGAAGTAAAAAAGAACAAGGTTACATCAAAAACAGTAATAAAAAAAACAAACCTTAGTATCTAATGCAACTACTTTGTCTCCAAGGATGCTGCCTTCTTACTGCCTTGCTTGCCTGCAAGATCCCTACCCTTACTGAAAAAGTCTCTTTACCAAAAAAGCAGCATTAGAGGAGCATAATCGAAAAACTGAACCCTCATACTTGTACAGCTGTTCAGCACTATCAGTTAAAATATATTTGTTTCTTTGAGCAGGATTCTCCACTCAGCACCGCTCCTAAGTCAGACTTTGGCGCAATCTGCTCAGGCTGTGTTTATTCTCTTGTTTGGAAAAACAAATAATAAAGTAAAAGTGTTCTCCTACAGCGGAGCTATGCTCAGAACCCTCCTCCCACCAGCCCATGACAGCATCCCCATGACTATTCCTATTTTCAGATAGTATCTCAGCTATTTTATTATTTTCAGCATATCTACCACGAGACTGTTGTAAAAACAGACATTATGCAAAAAAGTCTTTACTTTTTTAAACATCCAGCTTTTCAAATAGCAGCTAGAGTATAGAGAACAACAATTACAAGTCCAGTTATACACAACTGCTCAGTAAAACCATGCTGCCACCGCCAAAGCAGGCCACTCCTTCCAGGGCCCTGTGATGAGTAAGAGCCAGTTCCTTCTGAGAAAATCTTCTTTCTGCTCTAAAACTTCCAGCGAACTTGTCACCTATCTTAAAGCGACATTTAAAGTTAAGTTTGTGTCCCAGGGCAACATGCCTGAACAACCCTTATTTCCCTTCACCCAGCAAAGGCCACAGCGCGCAGAACTCGCCCTTCCTATGCTGTTAAACGTGGCACGAACGACTAAGTCACTTTTCAACCTGGCCTGGTCTAGGAGAAAGGGCCTGTTCTTTAAAACAAATAAACGACGTTCTCATACGCCAAGAAAGAGGCAAGAAGGGTATGGTCTTTAACACCAACCTACACCTGAACAGTATCTTAGTTTCTTTCCACACAGAGTGGCAGAGATTGATGCCTTTTTCAACAGAACATCAGATTAATACCTTGACGTCAACACCAGAACACCACCGCCACCATCTGCATTCACACAGAAGACTGCCAGAAGTTCTGCCACTGCATGACATGAAGGGGAAAGGAAGGAGATGTTTGCTGCTTCTTTACTGGTTATTCTTTATTATGTTTTTGTTAGAACACATACCTCAAGGCATTCCACTGTGCTTCATACACAACTAGGAAAGGGGAGTGAAACTCAACCTGTACTGACACTGATTTCAGTAACAACTGACCAACACTTCCAAGTGTCAGGACCAGGGAGGTTTTGGATCATTTACAAATCCTCAGAACAGACATCAAACTTTCGAAATACTTTTACCATCTCAAAGATTGGAGTGATCTTTTAGCTATAAACTTCTAGCACCGTTGAAGAATGACAGTGCATGTCCTCCCAAGTCAAAGCAGTATATCAGCTAATCCGATTGCTCCTGTAATTCTCTCTGTATTTCATTCTTGACATTTTAGAATATTAATACTTAAATGCGATCTGAATCCCATTAGGATCTAAGCAAGTATCCTACAACATAAGATTTTTCTCGGTAGCTCTACAGAGGGGGGAAACAGGGTGAGGCCATAAAAAGAAAGACACTGCCTCAGGGCACAATCTATGCATGCTTCATGCTCCCAACAAAGCAGACCTACTTCCAATTGCTTTCTAAATTTCCCAGAATCATCAAGATCTTCATTAAAAGCTTCCCAGCATTCACACTTAACTACCAATATTTTTTCATGAACTGGTAAATAAAGATGTAGCGTTGAAGTCAATGACACATATGGAAGCACAGATGTAAAGTCTGAAGTCTCTGTGAAGGAAAGTAACTTTGTAGATCGCAGCTGAAGTCCCATTTTTACAGAATTTATCATTATTGTCAGTCTCAGCTCAAGACTGAGTTAGAGCAGAATAGCGCAGTTGTTACGTTATCTATAGTGAATACAGATTTGAACGAACTGAAGGATCTGTGGCAGAGCTGAAGAATAGCAATGTAAGAATTACTGAAGATAAATACAGCAGAATTTCTACTTCAGGACAATTTTCATTAATGCCTTACATCAGGCCTTCCCAAGCGCAGAGATACGGAGGTGAAATCCCGCAGTTGCTTCACAGCAACTGAACTGCAGGTGGAACACACAGCCCGAGGCAGCGGGCAGGGTGCTGCCACTCCTGGAGCAGCCTGCAGTTAAATCAGATTAAGGTGATTAAGGAACCAGTCCCTGAGTTGGTTCCGTGTCTGCAGATTCTTGAGTCACATCAGTGCAGAGCTGCACCCCTGCTCCTGGGAGAAGGCTCGCTCCTTCACGTGAGCATGAGGAAGGGTAAGACATCTCAGGAACTGCTATGCTGATCTAACATTTAAGGATTGGGGGTACTGATGGAAGCATGCATATACGCATTGGTTAAAATCCCCATCAGTCATCAATAAGCAACCAAAACCTGTACTACAGAGTTAACAATCCATTAATCTTACGAAAAATGCTCATAAAAATCCTCTGCGTTTATATTTACTTTATGAAAGTGCACATTTGGAATAGTGTAACAGTGGTCCCGTGACACCTGGGAAGACTGAACTTCAAACCGTCTAATGCAGGGCTTATTACATGGCATTACTGATGCAGCAGCACATTCAAACTGGCCGACAGCAGGGCCTGAACTGAAAACACGCAGCATGATGGAGGCGCACGGCAGTTACCATGCACGCACCGCTTCCCTAGGCTCGTAAAACACCCGTCTGTGATGATACAGTATCTCCAGAGAGGACCTTGTAAGAGAAAAACCTAAACTGCTGACATTCAGCTTGACGAGTCTGAAAGTCTTCCTCAGTCACCTGTATGAATCACTTGCACTGCAGCTATAACCAAAGTTGCTATTTCTGTCTCAATTCAGATGTGTATTTTGTACAACTTGAAAAGCCCACAGAGCATCGCTATACCATTTTGTTGATTGTACAGTGCTTATTATCACAGCAGCTAAATGCCTGTTATAAATACATTACATGAACAATTACACTGTTCACGACAGTGACTACATCATCCAGCACAGTTTGTCAAAGCTACATTTTTGATGCAGATAAAAAAAATGGCACGTCACGAGAGCCTGTCAATATGCAACCTCCGAACTCAAGCTAAAACATTCAAAATACTGAACTCTGAATTTCAGAGAATGCACAAAAACTCTGCCACATATTTTAAAAGAACCATTATGTACCACGCCGTGTTTGCTGTATCTGGATATTTTATGAAGTACTACAGTTAAGAGATGCATGAAGTTCTCCTACACTCCTGTTTAAACTTTTTCTCCTTCCACAGTCTGTGCCAATTTGTTTCCTATTACAGAACATACTCTGCTTGGTGCGGTCTTCAAGCACAGAACGTATTTTTCTTAGCTTGTTTCCGAGTGTAATGTTCTTGTTGGTTTTGTTTTTCCTCTTTATACATGATTCTTCAATTAGCCAGACTTAAAAAAATTATTTTATTTCCCCCCTCTGACCAAGACACTAAGTTTTATTTTGATGGTGGGGTGGTTTTTTCAAGGTTTTTTTTCAGAGCAGGTGAGCAAAGACACTCGTGTAAAAGGTCTTCCTCTGCTTCCACCCACTGTCGCCTCATTCACCTACTCATCCAAAGAAGCCAAGGCCCTCTACCTTCTTGGTGATGTATTTGTATTAAAATGCCAGCCTAAGCATCGAAGGCATTACGCCCTTCGCCTTCTCTATCCTGGAGAGCAAACAACAGCTGCTCAAGACACCCAGATCCTAAGTTTGATGGAGCATTGCCATTTGAAAGAACCAAAGATACGAAGACTGTTTCACTTCTTGTAAGCCTCTTCCCTTCAGGAGAGGGAAACTGCTACTTCACTGTCTGTGTTCCTTTGCCTCTGCTGACCTTCCCTTCCCCCCTAGTATTATTTTTCTGATCCTACTTGCCCACAGGAGACAGACTTCAAGATCTGGAAGTGATACCACTGAACGAAAGCTCTGGTCTCCAACCACTCATGCAACCCCTCAGGCAAAAGAGCTGATGAATTACCAAAAAGAATACAGCA